ATCGAACTAGGAGAAGTGGAACTACGAGAGAATTTGACCTACCAGACTAAGCCAAAAAGGATAGCGATATGAAAGATAAGCAACTAAGAAACAAAATTATCCGCTTAGTAAAAGTAATCTGGAAGGGAATGACACCCAAAGATGCTACTTGGGAAATGAAGGAGAAAATGAGACGATAGTATAGCCATCTTTTTCAGTGAGGTAAGATTTACATGATTTATCAAATTTTAAGGACTAAATTCTTAAAAGGAGGGGAAAGTTGTAACATTCGGGAAAATTTAATCCTAATTTATTAACCTAATAAGCGTGATTAGTAAGTTAATGAGGTTGTGGCCAAAGAGGCTTAACTTGGTGTAATTGTTATGATTTTAGCCCTGAAAGTGAGTTCGAATCTATAGCAAGCCACCCGAGCAAGGAAAGAGGAAGAAAAAGTGAATAATTGTCCTTTGTGCCACATGCCGTAGCGTATGGTCAGTCTACCACAGCCCACAAAGACAAATTTGAAGGTAATGGGCTCTTCTGTGCCTTGTGCCACGGCAGAAGGCAGCGTGCATCTAGCACACGGGCAAAATTTGGATAAATTAGGTCGTGTCTGTATGAGAAAACGTAAGAGAGAAGAGGAAGAAAATGAAGAGAACGTTGGATTTCTGCTAGGGCATGCTTATTCGCTCCCATTGTTGATGTTTTGAAGCTCCCTAACACCTAAGGTAGGTAATCCAAGCCTTCTTCTTCCTTTCTCTCCCTTATTTATGATGATTTATGGTTGGGTTTGAGTTGGAAGATGGATTTTCGGTCTATAGGAGTATTGGTTCAATTTCATTGGTTAAAATGAGTATAATGAGAGTTGTTTAAGGTATTGGAATACACATTGACGATTTTGGAAATGGTTGGTCTATGGGAGCATTTAATATCTAAAAATTAACATAAACATGGTAGTTGGGAGAGATTTATGTCATTAATGATGGTTTGAGGTATTGTTAATGATAATGTATATTAATAGAACTTAATGAGTTCATTGGATATGAATGGGTGTGACTATGAGTTGATAAAATAGAGTATATGGAGTTATATGTTGATAAATTTTTAAGATTGAGACAATGATGATACTCTTGTGGTATGGATATAGTGAGGTTCATTTTTGGCACCATTCAAGCTTGTTGAAGCTTTAGGAAGTTGCTATAGTGAGGGGTAAATCTTTGATCTCTTAAAGGTTTGAGGTGACTGGGGGAAACTTAATCTTTATAGTTAAATATTAATTATATTTGGAAAATGTGAATTATAATTTAAATTAATGATGCATGTTAGCAAAATGTTTGATTTGCGAAATGGTTTTTAGAAAGAAAACCTTGATTATGCCACCCTTTAGGTTTTATGAAATTGATTGTGATTTATTACTATGGGTGGAGAATTGTGATGTATTATGTGTTGAGTTTGTAGAATATTTGAGTTTATGTAAATTCATGTACTATGAATTGATTGTTAAAATGCATATTATATGAGAAATGTGCATAGCATGATCATTGATGGCAGTTCGCCTAAGGAGAAGAGTAGATTGGTTGAAATTTACGTGGTATTAGCAGTGACCATTAGAATTGAAAACTAGCCTTGGCATCAACCGTTGGAATTGGGAGGTAACCCTTATCCCATGATTGGTTTAGGATTGTCCCGTTTGTTCTATGAGGGACTCGAACCTAACTAGTTTCCATCGGTTTATGAGTAGGCTAGATTAGGGGTACGACACCCTATAGTTGTTAGTATTGGGAAAAATTAAATAACATAAGTGAGTAAGTTAACCCTAGTATGGTAACTCCTCACAAGTAGAAAGCTGGATTAGTTCGTGAAGGATGTAGTCACGTGATAGTCACCAGTTTTGTATCGGAGGTAACAGAAGGATATAAAATTAGCATATGATCGTGCATATAAGTCCGACCATATGGTTGTTAGTTTTGTGGTCTGGCATGCATTGAGGGCGCATGTTTGTTATTTTTGTGACCTTGTGTTATGTTTTGTTAATTAACATGATAAGTGTATTATGGCAAGCCTGGTCACATGGTTGTCAGTTTTTTGATCCGTGGCCAAGTGTTATATGTGATATTTGTGTTTTTGCCTAATTGCATATATTTACAATTCGTATGCAACTGTATATGTTAAGTGAAACTTGAGTTACTGAGTGGTTGTGCTCACCCCTCAATTCTCAATATTTTTAAGACCTAGCTCATCGAATCCGAGTCTGGGAAAACATACAGGCGCCTAGGATTATGGAATAATCCTCTATACGCCTCTCTCTTATTACTCTCATGTGTATTTGTTAATGTAATTGCCAACTAAGATCATTTATCATGATTTATGTACTACTTGCATGATTTTGTGTATAACTAGTATATTTTGTATCCTGGGTTAGAGAGTTTTGGTTGTAAACCCGTGGATAGGCTCAAAATACTTGTGCAAGTAGAAACATATGTATTTTGAGAGATTGGGAATGAAATTAATGATTTTGTGTAACATTTCCTACCCTTTATATTTTGTGAAAATCAGGGTTGAGTAGTGATTTTGTGATATAAGTATGTTTGATTGTATGTGGTGTGTTGCATGAGTCCACAAGAGTCCATTGAGTGTGGTCAAATGGTTGGTGTAAGCTATTAGCACGTGTGATTGAGTTGGGATACCCCATTTGAGAAATTTTGTAAAAGTGATTAATATGGGTTTTGATGTTTAACTTTTTATAGTAAATGAGTTTGAGTGAAAAACTGGTACCATTAGCTAGAGCTAGAAGAAAGCACTATGTAAACATTAAAATCACCTCAATCGGATGTCGAATGGAGATTTGGGACACATCAGAAGTTCGCTCCTTGTGCTGTCAAATGACAGCACTAATGCTGTCAAAATTCGTGCAATGCATCACGGCGCATGGCACAGAGAAGACAAGCCGTAGCACATATGCCATAAGCTGCAGCACACATGTCATTTTTTGTATAAAAATCTATTTTTGAGTTTTAAAACTCATTATTTTAGGTCTTAATTGATTTTTCAGCTTCTGCTTTACTTTCAAAATTCTGATATGTACTTATTAAATAATGTTTGAGATTTGAATTATTGAAATTGGGACTTTTGAAAGAATTTGATAATTTCCTTTATAAAACCTTACAATTTGGCAATCGTTTGAGGGTTAAACCCTAGATTGCCATGATTTGAAGTTGAACATGGTTTAGTGAGGGAGACTTTACGGTTTAGTCTTATGCTTACATGCCATAACATGTGCATGCTGCTCTGCGATGCATGGCACATTTTTAGACTTAATAAGTCATAATTCATGGAAAAATTGAAAGAGAAACATAAGGGAAACTGAGAGCATAAGTAATAAAAAGAATAGGTATGCTATGGCATCAACATTTAAGTGCTTGAGAGTTGATTTCACTCTTCAACTTGTAAGTAAGCTTCCTATACCTCTCTTTCATATGCTCATCTTGGTTTTAAGAAATCTAGAGTGAGGAAAAATGTTAATATGAGTTGGAGAAGTTAAAAATCCAAGTGTCAAGAAATCTAAAGTGAGAATTTTTTTTCTACATGCAATCAATATTTTTAACTTTATATCGATGTAATGTCATTCCAAAAGTTTAAAAAATGATGTAATATCACTTAATAAATAATGTTTGACCAATGTTCATTGTTAATTGAATAATTTTGACCAAGTTTAATGACAATTATGTCCTAAAAGTTTTTCTCAAGAAGCAAATGGTATCTTAAACTTCCCATTAACACAATATTTTTGAGTATTAATGTTCAAATTAAAAGAAGAATCCAACAAACCTTTGTCAATATTAAAAAAATGGTTCATATTCCTAAATTACAATTAGAGGTCTTTGCTTGAGGCTTCAAAGTAAAATAAATTCTACTTGAGTACTCCGTAGACATTTAGACTTTCCCTTGAGCAAAGCTTGGACGTGCCCTTTTTTGTACATGAGTAAGTCCACACATGTATCCATAAACGAGTTTGGCTTTGCATAGGCTTAACCACAAACAAATATTGGCATGCTCAAATCTACCCTTGGGCAACATAGACTAGCCCAGTTTCCTATTTAAGTTATTTGCGAATAATCCTACTAGTTGGAAGTTTATGACATAATGGCTCCTTCAAATAAGTTTCTTAGACAAAATTTCTCTTTTAACTTCGAAAATTGTTTAATTAACTGTCAATGTTAGTCAAACGTTACCATAAGGAGATATTATACTATTTTTGAAACTTTTAACGTAACACTGTACTAATTGAAAGTTATTGATGTCAATTGGGCCAATCGATCTATGCCAGTTAACTGCCTATTAATGGTTTGTCAATATCAACTAATGACTGATTAATGGCCACCGTAATTAAGATCAATCAAAAGAGAATGAGTTTTATGGGGCATATCTATCATTTCACAGTGAAAATTAATTATAACTAAATTACAAGGGACTTAAAAGCATTTTAGTAACGGAAGTAAATACTTGCACAAATTGGCCAATATGCAACGCACTTTAGTCTGATCACCAACAACGCATTTGTGATGGAACCACCATCTGAATGTTTAGCCATCATTAGTGATAATCTTAGATTTAAGGAAGAATTATATTAAAGTCTCATATAAAAAAATTAATTATTGTAAGGTTCATTGATAACTGAATTAAATTGTATTAAAATATTTTCAATGTAGTTTAGTTCAGTTATTAATAGACCTTACATTGTGAATACAGTTTAATTTAGTTGTTAATAGATCTTGCAGTAATTAATTTTTGTATATGAGACTTAATTGTAATTCTTTCTAAATTCAATTCCAGGCATATGGGTTAATTATCTATTTGTTGTTTTTTCAATTTTCAAACTTCTTGCATCTGTTCGTAATTAAAGAAAAAATAAAAAGCAGTTTACTAAACTTGACCAATTTGTTTAAATTCAGAGTTTGAGACTATTCGCAATGTTTTTTTTTTTTTTTTAAACTATAAGCGACAAAGGTAAAGGTCCGGAACAACGAGACTCAGGGAAGAGAACCCCTTCATCCCTTCTTCCAATATGTCAGAGAGAAAAACTGCCCAAGACCTCGCGACAACGATAAACTGAGAAGAACTCACTGTCTTCGTTTTTACTTTCTTGTTCTACTTTTTCCATCCTCGTCTTTGTCTTCTCCACCATTTCCTCCATGGATCCCAGTAAAACTGAGGACGATCTCTTTCTGAATCATCATCCCCATGATCTGGATCCTTCTTCCTCTATTCTTTCTCACCAAAACCACATTCACCCTTCCGACGACCCTTCTTTTTCTCTTCCTGAAATCGTTCTCTTTCGCTCATCTTGCTCTGAGTCTCCGAGTCATTCCTCCCCTGACTCTCCCACTCACTCACCGAGTCGTGTTCCGGGCTCTTCTTCTCCTAAAAACCCATCTCACCAACCCCTCTTTATCAGTCCAGAACCCCATATCTCCTCCCAATTTTACACCTTCAATCCTGAGTCACATGCCCTTATGATCCGCTGTATCCTCGAGCACCGGCTCGCCACTCCCGCGGAGATCCGTAGTGCCACCCCTCGAGCCGTCCTCAAGTCATGGCGTGCCGTGTGGAAGGATCGAAATGAGGAGACGGCGTACTTGACGGCTTGGAAGCGCATTCAAGACAAGCTCACGGCTCATGTTGATGAGAACGGTAATGAATTTCTATGTTTCAAGAACAATTCTCAGCAATTCGTTTCACACATTAATCAATGGCAAGACATAGTTATGAGTTTTCATGGCGATACCGATTTAAAACACTTGGGACTTAAGGAAACCATAGAGAGAATTAAGCAAGTTTGGACCGTAGGTGCCAAATTTTATGGAATTCCTGAAAGTTACATTAGGGTTTGTGTTGCTGCATGCCCGGTGTGTTCTGCAGCTTCATCTGGATCTGGAGCGAGAAGTAAGCGAAGGAGGTTTGAGTATACTGAATCTTTTGATGTGCCCGCTAAAGAGGTTCCTGATAAACTTCAACAGTTGGCTGTGAAGCATAAGGTGGTGCTTTGCATACGGCAGAAGTATATTAGGTATAAGCCTTTCATGGCTGAGGTAAAGGATTACGCTTGTCATAGAGCAGGAGAGCCAGCTGCCAAGAAATCAAAGCTTCTGAAAAGGGAACCATATGCTTCAAAGCGCTGTGGGTGTGGGTTTCGTATAAGGGCTATCGTGCCCATTGCAAATTATAATGAGAAAGATAAGACTTTTGTGTATCAAGAAGAGGGGAAGGCAGTGTTTAAGCTGTATGCAGTGCATTCTGGGCATGAGCCAGGGCCATTGGATGGTAATGCCAGGATTATGCATCGGGTTGTTGGCCATAAAGGAGGCTATCATATGGATCAAGAGACAGTATTTGGGGTGAGAGATGACATGGAAAATGATGCTTTTGGGTTGATAGGGAAGGATAAAGGAGATTTGCGTTATTCTGTTTTGCAGCAGGTGCAGGAATTGAAAGCTGAAGTTGGGATGTTGGAAGGGAAAGTTTCGAAAGTCCCACATGAGTTATTGGGTTTGGTCTCTCAAGAATTGTTTGATGTTGTGAACAGAATTAGAAATCTAGGTGTGGGTTTGAAGCCAATTGGATTGCTTTCTGACAAAGAACATACAGATGATGTTTTGGTTGGCGATAATGATTTGACAAATTGGAATCATCATCATCATGAAAGGATTTATGGGGATGGCAAAGATACAGAATTGATTGAGGATGATGAAGACAGTTTTGGCCGCACTCTAGGAGAAGTTATATCTTGGGACCAGATGAGGACAGATTGTAGAAGTCAGAAAGATCTAATGAGTGAACCTTGTAAGCCTGAAAAGTGGTTGAAATGCAGTGATTTTGATGAAAAGAGCATGCTTGATTGTGAGGAAACTAAACTAACCAAGCCTGTCCAACATGATGAGGCTATTGTGTCTGATGTTGGTCTTGGCTGTATACAGGTTGATAGTTTCTACCCAGAACATTCTAAGTGGTATGATTCTCCATGTAGTTTGGATCCTGGTGCAGATTGTGGGGATAGTGGATTCCGTCATGAGGAGATTTTGTAGAGCCTTCAACATCTGAAGTTCATCCACTCTAACTTAGTAATCAATTTATGTTGTGCCTATTTCCCCTTCAAACAGATGAAAGTGGGATTGTACATTTATGTATACGGAAGGTTGGAGCTGTATGCCTGGAAGTTTAGGTGTATTTACTGCCTGTGGTCCTGTAAAGTATAACCAACCATGCTTCTCTTGCATATATCTTCATTATGACTAAATTTGTTAACCAAGATCTTGGTCTTCAGAGTTTCTAGCCTGGTCCTTTGTATAATGAACATCAGTGTTTTCTGTAATTCATTTTGAAACTCAGAGATTCTTGTATGTATTAATGAGCAGCCATTGGCTTTTTATCCCTACATTCATGTATTGCATGAATGTCTTATGTGGCGTGTATCTAGGATCCTCACTATTCATTTGGAATACGTATTTCAACTTTTTATTATATGTACAGAGATGTTTTGAGTAATTTTTTTTTTCTTTGTTTGGCTTTGGAAATTGCAATTATAATGTCTAAGGGCAAGATGAAGCCCCATAACATTACGGGGCTGTTTCACATCTTGAGTTTATCTTGATGCATTTGTCCACAATATGCTTATGCTAAATGGCTGATTGCAGGCTGTTCTTGACCTTCAGGTCCACTCAGGCCTGCATCCCTTTTAAAGGAATGTGATCCTCAAGGATTTTGGTATTTGATCATCATTTTCTTCCAGTTATTTTATTACTATGAATATAAGTGGTCTGCACTCTACAATATGCCATCTTCCAGTTATTCGATCATCAATTTGCTGTATCTGTAGTAACATGCGTAGCTGCTTGTAGTTGTTCATGCTGACAATTGCTCTTGTATTGATTTGTATATACTTGATTAGAATTTTCTGGCTTAGGATATGTCTTTTAATGGATTTTGGTGAACTTTTATGCTGAAAACAAGATGGAGCGTTTGTTATAGTTTGGAAGACTCTTTGTTGTTCTTCAACTCGTTTGCTGTGATGTGTTTATACCAAAGAGATCTTGAACTGAACTTTAATATCTTCTCTAGATGAAACTGATAATGGCAAAGGTATATTTGCAGTTTATGTTTGAAGGCCAGTTGACAGCTTTTTCTAGTGGTATATTTCATTCATATGTTAAGTAGCACTTATATTTTGTTAACTGCATGTTATGACTTGCAAGGATATCTTCCATTTCTTTTCAGCTAGCTCAGCTTTGCAATTTTTGTTTATTTGACCATTTTCAGGTTTAGTGTGAGAGTGTATACAAACAGAATTTCAGAATTAAGAGAAAAGGAAAACTCAGCTCTAATCTTATACAGGCATTTGAAGCATTGGTGCAGAATTTTGATATAGGATTGACTTTCTCTGGATCTAAAGCTTCCCTATGGATTTCTTCCTTGATTGAAGGCTGGAAAGCATTTTTATCTTCTAAGATAATTGCTTTTAATTTGTATATTGCTGTGTTTTTGGTCTAATGTTGTTAAAGGCACAGAACAGCCTCATCACCTCTTGTGTGAAGAGCTGATGGGTTCACTTAGGTGCATTTCTCAAGTAAAAGGCGCGTGCCTTTTGGCGCCTGGTTGCAATATCCCATAGAAAAGTAGGGAAGGTGCCAATTTCTAACTTTTGAGGTTGATGTAGAGAAAGGATTTGGCCAATGAAGCTTCTGTCAACATGTCGATGTGTGAATTTGTCAAAGTGGACTCTAGGTATTGAAGAAGATGATCAACTTTGGCTATTGAAGAAGAGGATTGATTTGCTTCCTTTTTATATTAGAGAACCCATTAAAATATGATATAAAACATGGAATATGACATTAAAAAAACTTAGGAAAGATTTAAATTTAGAACACGAGAGGAAAATTACATAAAAGGAGAGATTTAAATTTAAAACAAAAGAACATTGATCATTAGAGCAATTTATACTGCTTTGTAATGGCTTGTGATTTAGATGATTGCTACTTTTATCCATGTTTTCTTCATATTTTCTTCATATGACACAATTTTTCAGAATATTTATATGAAGGTTAAGTAAATATAAATTTATCATTTTATCTATGATTTGTTGTCTATACATTATTTTCAGAGTATTTCTAGTGCCATGTGCCTAAGGTGTTTTACCAGCCTTGCACCTTGAGTGTGAATTTTGCCTTTAACAATACTGTTTTTGGTCATGGCATTTGTGTTATGTAGGACTTGTTACAAGTTGTTAGGAATTCTATTTTTCTGTTAGGAAGGATTCTAGTAGATATAGTTAGATGACTTTCACTCATATAAGCATATAAATTAGTAGTATAATGGTGTAATGACTTTCACTCATATAATATAATTAGAAGAGTAAGATGAAACTTAGTTACCGAGCATGGTGGTGTTATTCCTTTGAGTGAGTCTCCTACTGATGCTTATAAGTGATATTTATTGTATGGGTTGTCATATATGGAGATTCCTTCGTTATTTCTCTTCTCTTTCCTCTGTTCCATCTGGTGCACCGTGCATTACTTTGCCATAGAATAGCATACATTTTTAGACGGTTCATTTTCCCCAATTATATCAACAAATTCAATGTACTCATATTTTGACTTTATAGACTGATGGGTTCTCAATAAATTTACCAAATAGCTTCTAATTTTTGCATGCCTTGCCTGCTGATTAGTTGAAGATTTTCTTTTGGTTCCCTTTCTATTTGGCAGTTTCGGACTAAATTAGCTTTTTATTTGTTGATGCTAATTACCTCATTAAAATTTCACTCTTGTATATATTTTCTTGGATATTAGGCAGATGTAGGAAATTTCAAGCACAAAAAAAGCAGTGTTGTAGCCCCCCCCCCAAAAAAAAAAAAACAAGCCATGGTGCTGTTTGATAGAGTTGAGTTTAAATTATCGGATGGTGGGTTTGTACTTCTTTAAACCTAAAGTGCGTTCCACAGTCACCATTCTTTTGGCTATATGTATTTGAATATGTATGATATAGTGATGTATCTATACTAAAGTACTGAAAATCAAACCGGCCATTAAACCTGTTAAGATATGGTTCAATGGTTAATGGTCAAAATTGTAGTCAAACTGTGATTAAACCAATCATAAATAAAGCTTTTTTTAAACTGGTTAAGATATTGGTTTGATGATTTACCAGTTTGATCAGATGGGTTGAACTGAATTTTCATGCTATGATTTTGACTTGTCATAGTTACTTATATTCCCTGATGATATTCATTGTGTCTAATACATTTGAAATTGCATGGATCTTGATAGAATGATTATATCTGGAATATTGAGTAACACATTGTGTCTGCTTGATGTTAGCAGGTGGCCTGCCGGTCGCTGACTTGTTCATCGTGAAGAGACGAAGTTACGATCACAAAATACAAAAATGGTAACAAGATACATGTGACCTGTGTGGAAGCTGTCTGAATAATTTACCCTTTTACTCGTTTTCTTTATGTGTGTGTGTGTGGCTGTGTTAAGAGTTGTGCATTGTTTTCTATCTGACCTGCATTAGTTAACCATTTGGTGATTGGTTGTTCATGAAGACTATTTCTCTGCCTGAACCATACCTATATAGAGCCTGTGGCAGTTATGATTCAAAGAAGATTTATACCTTTTTTTTTTTATGAACCCAGTGGAAAAATTTGAGAAATTATGCTCCACCAGTACTTCATATATGAAACTTGCATACTTTCAGAGGTGAAGACTTTGATAGAATGTGACTGAAGTGGGTCACTTCTTCTGCAGAACTAGACTGCACTAATGCAAGATCCTCTTTGGCGTGGCCAAAAAAATATTTATGAAATTCTGAATTAAGAAAAACATGAAGCACATTCTTGGTTTATATGTTCACAAACATCGAATTTTCTATGAAATTTTATATGATATCCCATGTAAACAATAAGGGAAAATGATAGGACTAAAATATTGAATTGATAATATTTTTTTTTAAAAAAAGAGAGTTGTAAATGTCAATATAAATAATTACAAATAAAAATATGTTACAATTTGAGTATTGTATTTGAAACTTAAATGTCATAAATACAATTAAAATTCTTGTACTTGTAATTGTTTAAATCAATATTTTTAACTTATTTTTTTTATAAAATTTTGTGAGAAGCTTGTCTGTCATTCTTCCAAAAAAATAATGAATATATAATCACCTTCATTTATGAGTAATAAAACATTAATTTCATTTAAGAACCAATCAATATGATTACTTTCACTATGTAAATATTTATTTTATAATTTTTTCAGTACAAGGCCACGGTAAAAATCATGTAAGGTAAAATAAATCAAGTTATGTTAGAATATAAAAGATTTTTGTACCCTCAAGATGGAATATAAAAAATCTTAATATTTAAATTATCATTAGAAGTTGATGCGTCAATCAATTAATGCATTTATTTGAATCTTTAAATACATGATTAAAAGTGATTGTTCAGTCTCTTATAATGAGTTCCCTACTTCTTTTAATAATTTGAGCAAAAGGATAGTTCTTAAAGAAGTCATGTTGAATGAGTGTGAGAGCTTCTAGAGAGCTAGAATAAATTGATTGATTTTGGTAAATTTGTTATTCCACCATATATGTTTAAGCCTTCTAGAATATCCATAGTTTTTGCTGCGTATTTTGTGAATCCCTTAATTTTCCTTGATCATCTCTAATGAATTCACCACAAGCAGCACACCACTGTTGTTGACTGATTCATCAATATCAAGTCTAATCCAACCTACTTTTGGGGGGTACCATTTGGCTTTTGATCTTACTTACACCTTGCAAAGAGAGACAATCAAGTCTTGATTAGAGATTGAAATCATTGATAATTTTTTTGGTACTTGAAAAAGAGATATCTCTAGCATAGATGTCATCTTTAGAATTGATCCTTCTGCATTTTTCTTTCTATATGTTATAGCAAACATGTGCAAAGAGTATTTGCCAAGATGTTTTTCCTGTACTTGGACCCCTCACATTGTTCTTTGCATTCTATAGTATCCACTCTTGTAATGAAAGATGAAAGAAAAATGTTTAGTTTTGAATAATTAAGCAATTTCATCCAAACCTCTCTAGATCTCCTATAGTCACATAAAATATGAATAGTGGGGTTAGGAGAGTGATAACCAATGGGGCAAGTCCTTTGGTAAGGATTAGTATCACTCGAATAGGTAAAATTGTTTTGAAGATGATCACAAGCTGCTTTCTTGAGAAAAGATTTAATCTTTTCATAAGTAGATAATTTTCAAATCTTGAACCAAATCTCAAAGTTGGTATTGTCTCCTTGATTTTCAATAGCTCTGTAAACAAATTTAATAGAGAAGCTACTATCAATAGAAGGCCTCTAACAAAGAACATCATCATCTCCAAAGGGATTTGGAGGTTTAACGAGGGAGATGAGACTAATGACAACCAATCGAAGGTATCTATGTAATTGAGCTATTTTCCATCCAACATTAGTAGAACAAAATTTGAAACTCTTGTATGAAGAACAGAATCTACATCAGAAGAGGCATACTTAACCAAAGGTTTTGGAAGACAAACCACCTATCATATCAAAAGGATATTTGATTTCCTTTTCCAACCTTCCAACAAATATGTGACATAAATTTATTTCAAACTCTAAAAAATACTAGTCCAAGTGTAAGAAGAGGATTTGGTTTTACAAACCATGGGAATCACGAGTTTGTTGCATTTATACTTATCACGTAAGACTTGAACCTGTAAACAATTAGGCTTCATAAGGATAGCTCAGCAGAGCTTCATAATGTAGTCAATATTTTGACTTTCAAGTTTTCTAAAGCCATGTCCTCCACATCTTTTGTCCTGAGGATGCAATCTCAAGATATAAGGTGAGGTTTTTGGTCCTATCGGAGAGTCCCAAAGAAAAATATGAGAGCTTTGTTCAAATTTGGCTAGGACATTGTTTAGTAAGAGTATAGTTTGCATAATATAGTTAGGAAGAGATGAAAGAACAAATCTAAATAGAACAAATTTTCTAGTAGTGTTGAGATAGTGATTCTTCCAAATATTTAGACACATTTGTTTTATCCATTAGTGGGGCAATAGTGAGCTTGGAGGCTCTTTCATAAAAGATGGAAACCCCAAGATATTTGTCAAGGTTTTCTGTAAAGGAATTCCTAATTCTTTATTGATTTGCATGGCTCTATTAATGTTTACATTTCTAGAATAAGAGTTTGAATTTTGCAATATTGACTTTTATCTTGAAGCCTTGCAAAAATTAGAGAGACATTGTTGGATAATCTTAGCTTGATCGAGAGAAACATTTGCATAGAGTAACAGATCATCAGTAAAAACAACTTTTAACTTCTAAATTTTCCATTTAAATTTCTATATTTCAAACTAAAAAAAATCCTAATTTTACATTAATTTTATTTCATGATATTGAATTATCATTTTCCCTTTTAATATATTTTTTGAGCAAGAAACAAGCATAATACTCCCTTTGATTCAAATTGTAAGAATTTTTTTAGCTAAGCTTTGTTCAAAATGCAGGACTTTTGGTACTTTTTGAAATTAATTTTTCAAATTGATCCTTGTATTAGTTAATGTGGGCATAAAAAATATAGCACTTGTCTGGTTTTTGTTCTCATTTTTTTTATAGTTTTCAGAATTGTTTTTTCAAAAAAAATGAAATGAAAATATGTTTAGTTATATTAATTTGAAAATAATTTTAAAATTAAAAAATATGCTAATAGTAATAGTTGCAGGGAGTTAGATGTTCATAAAAATTAAGCTAACTATATTTTTTAATAATTAAATGTAGTGTGTTTTGAAAATAAGAAAAATAAAATAAAAAACAACTTTCAAATGTTTTCATTTCTGTTTTAAAACAATTATCCAAATGAGTTTTTTAATTTTTTTTGTTTTTAAAGACATAAAGTAGTTTTTAAAAATGGAAACTAATTAGGCTCCTAATCTTACTAAACACTTCTCACTCTTCATGATAAAAGGGTTAAAGACAAAGAAAAAGACATGTAATTTTTTCCATAAAAATAAGAAAATAAGTAGTTTTTTAACAAGTGAAATATGGTTAGAAGTGTTTTATAATTCAAACCAAAAGGAGTATTAATTAAACAAGATATTTTTTTTCTTGTTTTTTGACCTCAAAATTAAGAGATTGGAATTATAAAAATAGAAAAAGTCTTTCTAACAGTCACAAAATTATTGTATTAAATGAAATATACACACACCCTATATAATCCTATAACGGCAACAAAATTAATAAACATAAAAACATTTATCCCTTCCATTCTTTTTCCCCCTTTTGGGTCAAAGGACACTGCTATTAAACGAATAAAGAAACAAAGTTGTAGGCTACACTAAAGCACAACAGCAAAATAAACAAACAACCGAAAGCAGAAACAAAAGGCAGAAAAGATAAAAGCAGCATCCCATGCCTGAGCTGCAACCTGAATCAGTAGTATCTATAACAGAAATCACAACTTTCTTAGCATTAGAGATCATCAGAAGATTACACAAAGAAAGTGATGGCTCAAAAACCCACCCTATTGGACTCACTTCCTTTCAAGCATTAGCTGCAAGGAGACCAGATACACGATTACCCTTCTTATGAGTGAAAGAAATAGAAAAACCAAACCCCGGATGCAAAGACTTCAATGATTTCTTGAAATATACTGCAGGATCTCCAATCAAGCAGATCTGATTTTTTTTTTTTTTGAAGCACAACTAGTTGACAATCAGTTTCCCTAGATCAATAGCCAAAAGCAACAGTCTTCAAGGTGCAAGAGCATCTATCATAAAAGCAAACATAGATTGACAGATTACATGAAATGAAAATGGTATGATAATTGAAAAGTAGGGCAATTCTCACCGTGAATTTCATTTAAGGGTTAGAAAGAGAGAGGTATGTATGTTTTTTTTTAAAAAAAAAACTTCTCATTTACAAAGCACACAATTAGTTTATTAAAAAATTTTATAATTTAGTTATCAAAAGAAATATATAAAGACAAAAATTTATAAATATATTTATTATCAATCTAGATAATACATATTTAATCTGATGATCTAATTTAATATTAATTTTTTTATAAATTTTATAATTTTTTATTTTAATAAATAAAATATTAAAAAAAAATAGATAAAATAAATGACAATTTTCAAAAAAATATTTTATTATAAATTAAAAATTTAAATATGAACCATTCAGAGAAAATAAGATAATCAATCTAAAAAATTATTAAAAATTTAATATTAAATTTAGACTATCCAAATTAAATATGAATGTCCAAATCAATGAGCAAATTCTTTAAAAAAATTTTTACTTTTATAAATCAAACGTGATTGTGTAACATCCTGATTTTTATATAAAGAATTGTGGAATTTAGGTTTAGAAAAAAATGATAATAATAGGATATATTATTTGAGGTTATTTAGAAATAATATTATGATTAGGTATTTAATTATGAATTTAAAAATTTAAATTTAAAACCACATAAGCAATATTTAGTTAAGATATAATACATAAATAATTTTGTTTTATGTGTGTGTTAAAAAAAAAAAGAGAAGGTAGAAGGAACAAAAAAAGGGGGGTGGAAGGTTGTTGTTTCTAAGTCCCACATTGGTTAGATGAGGGAGAGAAGAGGTGCCTTCATGTATAAAAAGGAGGGGGTGTGTGC